TGTATAAAACATGCATGTGATAATTTTTGTACAGTAGTTGTATGCTATGAAGAACATAGGAAAAATACTAACTCTGTTGTTTGACACTTTTCACAGTACAAAGTATTTTCATGTTCATAATCATGCCATAGCTTGTTATTTTTGTGTAGGCTAACCCACTCATTCAAACACCATGAAAATCTGATGGTAGACTACTTAGGGTAGTAATGTGTTATGGTAATTTTCTAAGATTTTTCTAAGCAATAAAAATAGATGTTGCTATTCAAACCTATTATTAATTAGGGTTTAATCAAGTGTTGCTTTAAGTGTGTTTAAGAAATTAGTAAAGCTTTGGTGTATCTTTGAAGCATTTAATAAGATAGGTTGACTTAACATATTAGTAGTAGAAGAGAATGCAGTAGATGACATGTGCTTGTAGTATATTTTCTTGGATGATGTTGACTACCTTGCATTCAAACATATCCATTGTATTCATCTCATCCTATGCACCGATTGCATAAGCACTTACGCACATTGCATCATACAGGATCGCAAACCGAGAACCCAGTCGTCATACCCGAGGAGCCCGAGGAGCAGTTCGAGGTGCAGCCGCAGGAAGTGCCCGAAGCCGACGAGGAGGACATTGAGGAACTTCCGGAGTGCCCCGATCACCGCCCGAGCTCCTTCGAGAGAGGCAAGCCCCGGAGCATTTTTCTCCCGGTTTGCAATTATTTAATTAAATGCTTTACTTTAATTGATGCATTACGTTCAGGAGTTGTTTGCAACCGTTGCTGCATTATACCTTGTCTACCTTTGTTATACTATATCCTTGTTACCTGGGTATCCGCAGTCGAGTCAATGCTTAGCTGGCTTAGACCGGTAGAAGACGGGTGATTTCCTGTCACCAGCGAGCTATAGGTGGTTACCTGGATCTGTTTGGATGACTATGAAGTCATGGTATAACTAAGTGTTAAATGAAGTTGAGACCGGACGGAGACTTGTAGAGTTTTGGACTGTAGTGTTTCCGTCTGTGTCGATTAAGGACCGACCGTTGTTGGGCCTCGAGTCATGTTGAACGCATGCCTTACATTTAGCTGACCGGATAAAGTACCTTCCGACCGCGAAGCTGGGAGATTATTCGGGCCGAGTAGATTGTCCGCAGCGCACTGTGCCGGAGCAGGTGTGGTAGGACACGGGGGCGGGATGATAAGACCAAAGTGCAGTCGGTCGGTCTCCGGGTACATGTGGTTCCTGGCAAACTCGAGATACCTGGATAGTTGACTCGGTGATCAATATCTCACTTTAGCGGGTGAGTGAGATTTGTGTAAGGAATAAATCACCAGCTGGTTAGGAATCGATTCGAATCGCCATCGCTCCTGGATAGTGAGCACTTGACTTGAGTTACTTCATCGTAGTAAATGTTTATGGAACACTTGGACAGTTATAATGGATATGACAGTATGGAAGTTGTTTAATGATCATTGGTTATCATTATCCACTTAATCATATGTTTGCTCTAGTTTAGGTGCAAATCTAGTCGACAGGTTAATAATAATTAACTTGACAATAATGCTTTTAGAAAGGTTCTTGAAATGCTAAAAATGCTTCTTTTGTAAATGAGTCAGCTACCCTACTATAAAGCCCTTCATAATCCTTGGTGTCATTTATTTTCGGTTATGTCGGGTAAGTCTAGCTGAGTACCTTCTCGTACTCAGGGTTTTATTCCCACTTGTTGCAGATGGACAGATGTATTACGGCTACTGTATCAACTGTCTTTATCTTGCGATGGGTGATGCTTAGGACCATGGGCATGGTCATTCCTTGTGTCTCGTCTAATGCTTTTGTTGGAGATGATCATTCGTTGACACTATATTTGAACTCCGCGTGAGTGTGTGTCTGGTTTGAACAAATGGCTTCCGCTACTTTTATTCGAACTGGTTTTGTAATAACTATGTTGAAACTCTGATGTATCTGAGATTGCGAACTTTTATGTAATATGTGATGGTGACCGCTAAACTTATTACGATCTTGGCTGGAATAGAAGTTGGTTTGAAATCCTTCGTGATTTCACGGACTACCGGATTATACGGGCTTAAGTTTGCTAAATCGTCTGCTCTGGCGGATGATTTTCTTACTTAATTTTGTATAATTGGTCGGTTCTGTTACAGTCTCCCGTGTCACCCAACCGCACGTGAGGACCGTCTGCCCGCTCGGCAGCACCCCAACAGCTACAGTAGGCGGCTGCGGCAATGTGGTTCCATTCAACATGTGCAATATCCAATCTACTTTTGTAACGTTCAAATAAAACATTTACAACATATGTCCAAAATAGCTGAAACATTGCAACATACGTCTGAAACACTTGAAAAACACCAGAAAAAACTTGAAAACATGTGTGTTAGCCATTGCAAACATTGTAAGATCTTGATGAGAACACTTGCAATGTGTACGTATGAAAACACTTGAAACACTTGCATATATATGTAACGTCCAGATAAAACACTTGCAACATACGTCTGAAACAGATGAAACATTTAGAACATACACTTCAAACATATGTTATAGCCATTGCATCATGTGGAACATCCCGATATACTTTTGCAACATGGATATGAAACATTTGCAACGTACCTCGGAAACACCTGAAACAAAACATACGCTTGCAACATGTGCTTTTAGCGCAATGTCACCTTGTTGCCTGGACGAATGGAGGCTCATCGTTGCGGAGTTCAACGCCGGCGCAGAGGTCGGCGGCAGCGCATGGAGCTCGCGACGGCGCGTAGGTCTGCGGCGACGCATGGGAGTTCATGGTGGCACGAAGGTCCGGTGCGGGCATCTCGTCGACGGATGGAGTGTAACCGTGGTAGGAGGCGCGACTCCAGGCGGGGGCTCGCGGCGTCCCGGAGGTCGGCGGCGGCGCATGAAGCTCGCGGTGGTGCGGAGGTACGCCGTGGGCATCTCGTCGGCGGATGGAGCGCATCCGCAGCAGGAGGCGCGACTCCAGGTGGGGGGCGCGGTGGGCGGTGCGGGCTGAGGCGTGCGGCGGGCGGGGTGGGACGGTCCGGTCCGTCCATCCTGACGCCCTACAGGAACATTTCTGTATTTGAACAGCAGGATGACGAAGTCAAGTCTGCCTGAAGTGACGAGGTAGAGCTGCTGTGGGGTAGTAACGTGGCAGTTTAAATGTGCTAGTGTTTCGAGTACTTTCTGATTTGTAATAATATGTTAGCAGCCTTGGTATGAATTTATCAAAAAAAAAACTGTCTTGGTAGGGGCAGTCCATGTTGGTTGCTTGATGTTGGTTCGCTAGAATCAGTTCAGAGTCAGAACTCTAGCTCCTGTTGTTGGTTAGTGGTATGGCCGCAGGTTTCTTACTTGATTGCTCTGAAAACACCTATATTTCCATTAGTGACATAATGGAAATAGGATTTCCTCTCGTGGAAAAAATGCTAAAATGTTTATTTAACGGAAAAAGAAGTAGGCCTTATTAACCTTACTTTTGTGGACCATCGATAAAATTTAAGCTTAGCAGAGTTTTTATTTGGACCCGTAAAAGTAAATCTAGAGATGGAAACAGGACAGGAAATTTTGACCCAAAGTAGGACACCCCTCAAAAGTTTAATCTCCTCCTCAAACACCTTTGTTCTTATGGCTCACCAAGACTCCTGCTCTGTCTTCACGATTCACCCACCAGTATTTGCACAGACACTAATTACGCCTCTCTCCTGTGTGCCACCCCAATCGCACAACCTTTGATTTTGTACGTAAGATCCACCCTCCTTGTCAACCGAAATGAGATTCCTGTCCTCCTGTCCTGCTTTTCTCACCGAATTCGGCCTCCTAGTCGGAACCCTAGCAGTCCTCAAGCTCTGGCCATCTTCACCAACTTTAGTCAGCCACCACCCTCTCCTACCCCGAGCTCCATACTATCCCAACTCCAGGCTCTATAGCCACCCCACCCTGAGTTTTTTTTTTTACGCCCGCGAGTTGGTTACTTAGCCGCCCTGGTCTTGATCTCGAGCTTGTCCTCCCTTCCACGTCTGCCACCAACCGCCCTTCTTCTTGACCGTGGACTGTTTGGTTCGGGCTTAGGCAATGGCAACGGTAAATCAGTAGCACCGTGATCCATTGCAGGGTAAGAAAAAACGACATTTGTTGGTTGGATTTTTTAATCTCTTCCATTTCCTTAATCTAGTTTGGCTAGCCGCAACAACGTTCCATGCAGCATGATGCCTCGTGGAAGGGAACCGCTACTGCACGAGTAGGGGGCGATCGGGCGAGAACAACATCAGATGACGTCTGGAGCAAAGGGGTAACGAAATTGTATGGGCCCGTATCTATTCATGGTGTAATTGATTGCAAACCAAACGAGAAGCAAGGGGAAGGGGTTCCATTAGCGCTGGGAACCAATTACTGGCCAAAATGACCGAACCAAACATTACCATATATGTGAGGAGACAAAAAGGGAAAGGGAAAAAGGAAAAACATATGTAGCATCTAATGACAAGTGGGTCCCAGGTATCAGAATGAATTTGGAGGCTCAAAAACAGGGCTCTTGGAGTTATTATGTTAATAAAACTTGACTCTCAAAACTAGCAGCAACCTTCAAATCAAATTAAAAAAAAATAGAGACCTTAGTCCCTAAAAAAGAGAGAGAGAGAGACATTAGTTCAAGGATTCCTACTAGGGGGAGTTGCTATGGCTAGATAGAGATGTGTGGGTCCGTGGCTGTAGCGCGCCCTTTTACCACCGGACGGACAACCCCATCCCACGTCACACCTCCTGAAAACCGGATAGGCTCGCCGTAATTAACTGCAATGGACTACTGTAAAGAAGGAATCCATACGACAAGACCCTCCGTTCGATTTTTCAAAAGAAGAGAGTGACAGAACATCATCAGTGAATAAAGGAAGCAACGAAAGAGGACAGAACCCAGCCTAAAACCCCACGTACACTCGCAAAAGACACCGTGGAGAAAGGAGGAGAAAGAATCCATATCCACCGCCATCCAGAGGAGAGACATGATACTCGTGTCGATCATGGCGGAGCTGCTGGAGACGTACACGGCGGCGGTGGCGCGCGCCGTGGAGCGACTGCTCTCTGCCGCGGCGCCGCGGCGCGTCCTGCCGCGCCGGGTCCGGTTCCTCGTCCTCCGGAGCCTCCCCCTCACAGCCCCACCACCGGTTGCTGCGCCGCCGCCGTCGTCGCCGTCGCCGTCCTTACCCGCTGATCTGCTGTGAAGTAGTAGCTTCTTGATGGCTGCTGCCTCCTGTACTGGTCTACTGGACGCGGCGCAATTCTACTGCTTCTCTTTTACACCTCGCAGTGTTTTGGTTGCTCGCCGTGCGTGGATCTGTTTTCCATTCGCTACTCTCGAGCCAACCGGCTGGGTGGATAGATGCGATACGTATGTAATAGTGCAGGCTGCAAATTGCCTGTATTGACTGCTGTGTATATGTTTTTAGTTGTTATATATGTTTGCAGGTTAGAAATTCCTAGATATGATTAACAAATCTCGAGCAAATCGAGTTTTCTTTTCCCGTGATTTAACGTTGACCAAAAAAAAAAACTGTGAATAGCCTGTGTGTGTTCTATATTCTCTCTCTAGCTTCAAGGCCATAGATGCTGTTTGGTTTGGTCGTTTATCGGCGTGATCATATAGCACCGTGAATCAATCGCGTTTAGTTTGCGTTTGTTTAATATGTGACGTAACCTGATGTAACCTGATGCAAGAGGATTTGGACACCTAGCTGCTCAACCAAACACAAGAAGTAATTAGAGATATCTGTTCCCGTTTCTGTAGATATCTGTTCCTTTGCGTTGTCTATACGTACGGCTTGTGAAACCAAAGAACATCTTATTTCTTGCTCAACATGTCACATCGGAGCATCCCAAAGATATATTTTTTTTGATCGGGCATCCCAAAGATAATTGGAAGTGTCACTATCTTTGAGTAGCGCCTTCATGACACGTGCGGTGCGGGACCGTCCATGTACAGAGGTAGCAACGGGTATCCTAACGTATAGGGTTAGGTAGCGTCATCTCGTATAATTTTTCGGTCCTAAAATATTTGACCTTATATTATTTAAATTATTTTTTAAAATTACACAGTGTAAAATAGATGCTCACAACATGCACGTACACTCACCTCTATCTATGAACACATGTACGCAAACCCTACCCTATGAGATTTAAAATAATTGTCATTGTTATTTTTCAATACACTTTTTCCTTTTCTTGTTTGAAATACAAGATTCATTTTTCTGTTCTGCTTCTATGAAATTGAATTGATTCTTGTGAAATTCCTATGTATAAATCCCGTAAAATTCATGGGTTCTAAATAGACCCGGCATCTCTAATTCTATTTGTAGGAGTACTAAGGTTTTTTATCTTGAACATTGGTATCTATGATAGATCCTAAAATATCTGCTACTCTGGTCAGAGAGGTCCCTATACTCATAAGATAAAATTCTAGTAGGTAAAATATCTACAATCGCACATATGTCAAATAATTTACCTATATCTTTACCATGCACTCTTTATTGCCACCTACATTGTTTATATGTGAACATATATCTGCATTGTAGGTCTAAACCTGTAAAAACAAACATAGCATAAAATGACTGCAACTAACAATGAGTGTTGTGGTCAAAATAGATTTTATAGAGGTGGTTTTCACAACCCTTGGTACCCACACATATCTAAAAATCAATGCACCATGTCCGCTTGATCATATCAGTCATGCTTATCAGCCATAATACAATGTTTTCTCTCACAACAAAACAGCATCAGCCGGCTTATAAGCCATAGAAACGATCAAGCGAACAGGGTGCAAGCATTATTAGCAAAGGAAAGTATACACCTATCCCTACAAATTGATTTTTAAGACAAGTTGGTAAGGGGGCACCACAAACAATGATAGATCTGTTGGCTCATAGAAATCCACAATGTCATTTTGCCTAAAAGAGAAGAAAAGAGAAAAACGCTATCTCTTCATCGCACGCAAGACTTAGACGTATCACGAGGCCGCCCACCCATCTCATCCCTTCCGTCTAATTCTCACTAAGGCCTAGTTTGGAAACTCAAATCCTTTAGGATTTTGAACTTCTTTTAGGGTGAGCAATCCATGAAAGTGTTATTTGAATAAATCATTTATGCCTCACTCGACACAGCTTCGCCAACAGCTTCATAAGCTATTGTGAAGTATTTTATTTTTGCTAAACACTCTTTTTGCAAACAGCTTCATGAATAAAGCTCCTTAAATAATGCTCTTACTAAAGAATGGGGTGGGATGGAGCTGAAAATAGTCATTGCGTTCGGCTGGTATAGTTCCAGCTTGTTTTAGCTTATTCACTTTCACAGAATACTATTCAACCATAAAAAAACACGGTTCACCGGACCATCCGAACGAGGTGGTTAGTTTTTCATAGCTTCACATAGGTGGGTCTTGATTCTGTGAGAGTATATTTTAAGAAAATCTATGTACGGAACTGTTTTTCAAACAGCAGTTTACTAAAACAGCTTTAATTTTACCGAAAAAAACTGCTCGTGAAGCTAACCCAAAAAAAACATCACAAGTAAAGCTAAGCCGTGCAAGCCGGATCAAGTTGCGAGGTAAGCGACGGTGCAAGACTGTTTCTTTCCTCTGCCTCTACCGCATAAATCAGGCAATAATGCCGGAATGATTTAGCCGACGTGGCGTCGGCTCACTCTTTGAATTGTTATATGGTCTCAAATAGGCCCACGATAGATAGAGCAACAAATATGACAGAATACACAAGTAATAATTAGGCCACTTTCGGTGGTGCGGCACAGGGAGAGCAGAGCGCGCGTTCTGGTCTTTCTGGATGGCCATGGCGAAGCCGACCGTCGTGCTCCTGCCGGTCTGGGCATCCGGGCATTTCATCGCTGCGCTCGATGCCGGCAAGCGCCTCGTTGCCGCCCTCGGCACCGCCGACTTCTCCCTCACCGTCTTGGTCATGCGGCCCCCGACGCCCGAGTCCGCGTCCCAGGTCGCCGCGCACGTTGCGCGCGGGGCCGCCGCTGCCGAGCCCATCGGCTGCGAGGTGAGCTTCCATCACCTCCCCGCGGTAGACCCGCCCACGGGCTGCACCAGCGTGGAGTATTTCACCTCGCAGTACATCCACCTCCACGCGCCGTACGTCAGGGCCGCCGTGGCCGCGCTGCCACTGCCCGCCGCCGCGCTCGTCTTCGAGTTCACGTCGACAACCATGTTCGACGTCGCCCGGGAGCTCGGCGTCCCGGCGTACGTCTACTTCGCGTCGTCCGCCGCTATGCTCGCCCTCATGCTGCAGCTGCCGGCAATCCACGACGTGATGATGCCAGAGGAGTTCGGGGAGATGGAAGGCCAGCACGTGCACGTCCAAGGCTTGCCGCCGGTTCCGGCGTCGTGCATGCCGGCGTCCGTGATGAGTAGGAAGAGCCCGAGCTACGCGGACACCGTGTACCACGGCACGCGCCTCGCGGAGGCTGATGGCATCATCGTCAACACCGCGGCGGAGCTCGAGCCGGCGGTGCTGGCAGCAATCAACGACGGCCGGTGCACGGGTGGACGCCCCGCGCCGCCGGTATACCCAATCGGCCCGGTGATCCCCTTGTCCGATGCTACGAGTAGTGATCACGAGTGCCTCAGGTGGCTCGACGGGCAACCACGGGCCTCTGTTGTGTTCCTCTGCTTCGGGAGCCTGGGGTTCCTGAACGCGGAGCAGGTGAGGGAAGCCGCTGCTGGCCTCGAGCGCAGCGGGCAGCGCTTCCTGTGGGTTCTTCGCTCGTCGCCGCCAGCCGCGGCGACGGCGTCTGCCCACCCGCTGGCCGAGCATCTCCCACCAGGGTTCTTGGACCGGACAAAGGACCAGGGGCTCGTCTGGACGTCGTGGGCGCCGCAGAGGGAGGTCCTGGCCCATCACGCCGTGGCCGGCTTCGTGACGCACTGCGGCTGGAACTCGGTGCTCGAGGCCTTGTGGTCGGGCGTGCCGATGGCGCCGTGGCCGCTGTATGCCGAGCAGCACCTCAACGCGTTCGAGCTCGTGGCCTCCATGGGCGTCGCGGTCCGGATGGACGTGGACAGGAAGAGGAGCAATTTTGTGGAGGCAGGGGAGGTGGCGCGGGCCGTGAGGTGCCTCGTGAGCGGTGGCGACGAGGAAGGGGAGGGCAGGCGGGCGAGGGAGCGGTCCTCGGCGATGAGGGACGCGTGCCGGAGTGCGGTGGCGCAAGGTGGGTCATCGTTCGCTTCGTTGCACGGCGCTGCCGCGGCCGTGCGGCATCGGTTGGAGGCGGGAGTGGACGGGAACAGCAATTTTACATGGTGGTGATTGACGCGTAAACATCCCCTCCTTCGCTCACTCCAGCTTTCGAATTTCAGAATTGCTAACTCTCAACTGAGTGATTTTAGTCCATCCCTCGACCGAATTCTAGGCTGTTGATCTTACACGTGTCGGCATCTGCTCGGGCTCCTTCGCCGCTCCTCTGCCACCGCCCCAAGGCCGCTCCTCTGCTCGGGCGGACACGCGCTCCTTTGTCGCTCCTTTGCCACCGCCCCAGGCTGCCGCCGTCGCCCCGACGCGGACGTCCCCGACGGGTAGGCCGCCGCCGCTGCCCCGGTGCGGACGCGGGTGGAGCGTCCCCGGCGGGCGTCCCCAGCGTGGGTGTCCCCGGTGCGGGCGCCGCCGTCCTCTGCTTTCTGTCCCTTTTCTGCTGCTGGAAGACGAGATGTGCTCTCGGGTGTCTGTTCTTCTTTGCTCTCTCTCCGTTCTTCTGCTTGTAAATTTGTATATTTGTGAACAATTTGACGATATTTGTGAATAATTTGGCATATATTTCTCTGGTATCTAGAATCCATAGAAAAAATTTGTAATTTCTTTTTGAAAATTTGGCTTATATTTATCTGAGATATTAGATTATCCTTAAATTACACCACTCTGTCCTATATATTACACTGAAGAAATTAATGTAAATATAGTAATAGAAGAGAGTAAATATAGCTAGATGATAGTGTAAGTGCATAGAAAAATTCAGTTACTAGGGAGAGCAAAATCATCTGAACGTCACTTAGACAGATCCTTGAATCTTGATGTAGTATATACCTGCTCAGTTGAGCACATAGGAAGTTACAGTGCCGTCGGTTGATATAGGGCCCTACCTAGGATTTGGAGGCCCCTCAACAAAATACACACGATGGGCCCTATAATTCGAGAAAATCAAAGCATACTTTCACTTAATTATAAAGCTTCACAATAAATATGGGTCCTACACTACTAAGAACAGATCGAATCTAAATGCTAAAAGAGTAAGTAGCAGTACTCAAGTAACAAACTAGCATCCCTAGTAGCTAGCATAGTAGTATCGTGGCACGAGAAAGCAAAATGGCAAAGAGAAAAATGAACAGACCAGGGAAGCTAAGTTGCCAAGTAGGCTGGTGGTTACGTTGGTGAGTTGATCCAATTAGCAAACTAGGAATTGCAACTTGCAAGCCTTTTTTTTTATAGATATGCTACATTTTTTCTATTTAAAAGATTAGCTATTATTTATTAGTACTTACTATAAATTTGGAGGCCTTTAAATTTTTCGAGGCCCTGAACAGTTGCCCACCTTACTCCTGTCAATGATATAATCATATAATAGCTAGGTCTCACCGTCTGTTTATATAGGCATGAAATCAGAGATACCAACGGATTTTATGGATACCGAATACAAATAATTGTTTCTTTTATAGGACAGACTGATATCAGAAAATATTCGTTCTGTCTTCATCTCTAGGTTCATAGAATAATTGATTATTTGATTTGCTTGCCAACATAATTTTATTGCGTGTTTGGTTGTCTTCCCAGCCTAGCCTAGCTCGCATCATGGACACGTCGCAAGACGAGCCTTACCAGGAGCACGATACCACAAAACACGCGCGCGAGGTCTCTTGAGATCCGAAACTCCACACGCCCAGAAGAGAACCCATCGGGGCATGTAGCGGCTATGGGTTGCCGTAGCCGACCTGATCGCTCTAGAGCTTCGTCGTCGTCGATCCACAAGCCATGCAGCGCTGACAAAGAACGAGAGAAGAAGTAGATGGGAAAAGAGGGTAAAGAGATGCAGTAGATTGATTTTTGTTTCGATTGTGTGTGTTGGGCACCTCAATCGGTTGTGACCCTTATATTTATGGCGTGTTTCAGACTACTCTACGAACTCTGCTCCACATACTCCACCATGGAGCAGCTCCACAAAAAACCTGGAGTTAGTGGAGCACCTCTTTAGGTGTCCTCATAACTCCACTTTTTTCATTCTCGAGCAGAGTGCGTGAAGCTGAACCTGTTTGACTAAAAAAAGTAGAGCGGAGCGAAAAAACGTGGAGTGGAGCAGTCCCAAACACCATCTTATAAGGTGAGTGTGGCCTTATACCTCTAGAGGTCGAAACCCCTTCCAAAACGTGAGTTTGATCCGACCTAGGCCGTAGAAACTGGCCTAGCCAGTTCTACTGCATCCAAACCAGACTGGCCGGTTCTACTGCACGTCTAGGGTAAAAACTTTTCAAAAATCATAATTAATTCATCCAGACTCCTAACGATACGATATATGTTGTTCGATCACACTACTACAAAAACAATTTTTAGCAACGGGTTTTTTTTGGATGGCTCCGGTACCAACCGCCCCTACAGTGGGTGAGCTCAGGTCCCATGATTCCAGCCGTCCCTACAAATCTAACAGTAGGGGCGGCTGGTGATACGAGCCGCCCCTACAAATAGGGTAGATTTGTAGGGGTGGCTCACCCACCAGCCGCCCCTACTGCTCAATTTGTATGGACGGCTCAATCACCAGCCGCCCCTACAAATGCACGCTGTATAAATGGCTGTAGTTCCCTTCTTCCTCTTCGGGTCACTCACTCCAACCCGTGAAAAAAGGTAGGGAGGCCTTGGACACCTCCCAAAACTTGCTCTACTAAGGGGGGAAGATTTTGATCTCAAATCCTTTGGTAGAGAGGTTGTAGAAGGTAAGAAAATGCTATTCCACACTTTTTTAAGTTTTAATGGTTGGTTAGTGAGTAATTAGAGTTTTGCTTTTCTCTCTCTTCTATGATGCTTGAGCTACTTATGAAGCAAATTAGATCAAAGTTTTGAATGTACTAGGGTAAATTAGGTAGGGGAACAAGATCATACCCTTATTTGGTCCAAGTTTCTTGATTTTAGTGAACAATTAGTTAGTTTTATGGATGTTTCATGTGCATATAGGTCTAGATCTAGGGTTTGGTTTTTTTTATTAATTTTGTTTTTATAAATTTATGTTTGATGAAATTGGACTAGGGTTTGCATGAAAGATGTTGGGTAAAATATAATTGTTGCTAATTGTTGTCTTTGAAACTGTTTATTGTAATCAACAAATATGTATTTTAATTATTTATGGATAAATGGGCATTAATTAATTTTCCTCTACCATAGTGTGTTTGTATGCTTCATGTAATTATATTTGATTTATATTCATATATATCTGAAGTATATACAATTATTCTTAAGTAATTATTAATTTGATTCATTTTATATATATATATGAATAAGTAGTCCTTTAATGTTTGTTTTGTTGTTGTTGTAAAAGATGGAGTACAACAACTCTTGGATGTATGGTTCGTTAAGGTTTAAGGCAGGTTTTCGTGAAGAGGTGGATAAATTTATTGAAGCCGTAGAGAAGCATGCAACGACGTTGATAGAGAATAAGGATACAATTATTTGTCCCTGTAAAGATTATAAAAACCGTATGGCATGGACAGATGTGAGTATCATCAGATCATATTTGATTATGCGAGGATTTGTTGAGGACTACACGGTGTGGATTCATCATGGTGAAACGGTTATTGTTAACAACGAGGATGAGGAGTAATACGACGACGAAACCCTAGAATCCCTGTCCCAATATTCAGCAGAGCTTGATGCACGAATGGATCCCGAGTTTGGCAATGAACAAGCTGGTGATGCTGGTGGTTGGGATGGTAACGACTAAGGTGGTGCCAATAATGATGGTGGAGCACGTGTCGGGGATGAAGATGATTTGGAGGATATGATTCGAGCCCTTAGACCAGAGATTTTACTAAAGAGCCCGAAAGGTTTAGAAAATTTGGAAAGGGTGAAAAAAATATCGAAGGAGACTGTGTATGGTGTTGAAAAGGGTTGTCCGATATATTGGACATTACTACGTTTTATGCTTGAGTTACTCATCCTGAAGGCTAAGTACGGCTGGTTAGACTATAGTTTCAATGATCTATTACGTCTCCTGTCATGGGTGCTGCCACAACCAAACTCATTTCCCGCCAACACATACCAAGCGAAGAAGGTCATAAGTCCATGGACAATGGGGGTTGAAAAAATCCATGCATGCCCCAACCACTGTATCCTTTTTCGTGGCAAAATATTCAAGTCACTGGATAAATGTCCCCGGTGTGGGGCCAGCCGGTACAAGAACAATGATCTTTACGGTGAGGACGAAGCCTCCACGGAGAAAAAGAGGAATAAGAAGGGTACAAAAAAGGTGGTACAAGAATCTCAGCCCCCAGATGACACTCCATTAGGCAACGATGTAAAGCAGAGAAGAATTCCTGCCTTGGTAATTTGGTACCTGCTAGTGACCGACCGCTTGAGACGTATCTTCCTAAACCCTAAAGAAGCCACACTCATGACATGGTGGGATGATGAACGCAAGGTGGATGATGATAAGATTGCACACCCGACTGATTATAGTCAGTGGCAAAGGATCGATGAGAAGCACAAAAAATTCAGTGATGACCCAAGAAATATACGGTTTGGCTTGAGCATCGATGGAATGAATCTTTTTAATGAGAGGATGAGCGACCACAACACTTGGCCAGTGATCTTGACCATGTACAACATCCCAACGTGGTTGTGTCAGAAGAGAAAGTACCTTCTCCTCACTATTGTTATTTCTGGCCCTAAACAACCAGGCATCGATATAGACGTGTTCCTCGAGCCTTTGATGCAAGAAATGGAGAGGCTATGGAGGCATGGGGAGCCATTGTACGATGCGTTCTGAAAGGAGAACTTCATATGTAGAGCAATAATATTTGTTACTACCAATGATTACCCCACACTGTTTGCTTTGTCTGAACAGATCAAAGGGAAGACAGGATGCTTGGTTTGCTTGGATGGTACTACATGGGTGTTCCTGGATGCATCCAAGAAGATAGTTTACCTAAGAAACCGATGCTTCTTAAAGACAAGTCACAAGTACCGCAACAAATTGTTCTTTAGATTTTATGACAACACTCCGGAGATTGAACCCCCTCTACAGAGACGTCATAACAGAGAACACGTGTACAGAA